GTCTCCATTTACACTCACTCATGTAGTACCACATGTACTACATGTACATGTACATGTGTATTATATTTAAGCTCAATGCATATGAACTCTTTCTTTTCCTTTGCTTCTTTTTATTTTTATTTTTCTTACTTCTCTCTTTCTCCTTTCTTTCTCTCCCTCCTCTCTCTCTCTCTCTCTCCTCTCTCTCTCCAGGTGTTCCTGATCAAGTTACTGGTGTGACTGTTACTTTTTTGTCTTTTTTTGAAATTGAATTCAGATGGAATGTCCCTAGTTCTAATTTTGGTCTCAATCAGCGCTATAATGTTGAATACAGATTAGTTCTTGCTGGAGCTAGTTCTTCTAATATAACAGGAATTACTGATCCCAGCTATCTTCTAAATGATTTTGACTTAAATCGTAATTATACTGTCATTGTATCCAGTTCTAATGAAATTGGTAGAGGACCTTCCTCAGATGTTATTACTTTTCCTAGTATCAGTTCAGGTGGGTCTTAACTTGTACCTCTCTCTCTCTCTCTCCCTCCCTTTATTCCTCCTCATCATATGTACATGTACATATGTCCTTATTATACTCATTCATGTACGTATAATCAATTTTCACATGCATACATGTACATGTACCAGAAGATGTTTATTGTCCTTTTAAAAATATATTTTAATTTATTTTAGATATGGCTAGTTTGCTTCGTGTCCGTGCTCCATCAATATTCATCACTTCTACTCAGATACAAATATTGTGGGAGCTCCCTCCTCTCTTTAGACCAACTGAGCGGAGACCAGCTGAGATAAGCCAATATGTACTGAATTACAGAGCTAATGGAAAAGATACCCCGGCTGTATCTTTCAGTAACAACTCATTGAAACACACAATAGAGCCTTTGGTCCCTAATACTGAGTACATTATCAATATTAATGTGGAGTATAGTGAGCCTCAAAATTTGAAAGGGAATCCTGTTAGTATCACTGCAAAGACTAAACCTGCAGGTAAGATACATGTACTGTACAGTCATAATCTATTGCATTTTGATAGTGCATTTGAATGCATACATGCACACATTCAGAAGTATTAATTTTTATCAAAAATTACTCCAAAATTCTCAGTTTAATAACTTCAAATCTTTCATGTTTCTTATAATAATTCCCTCATTCCTCACATATAGATAATCTTCCTGAAGTTTCAACCAACCTCAGCTCATCAAACATCAATGACATGACTAACCCGTCCATCCAAGTCAAATGGGAACCTCTTTCTCCCAATGACGGTTCTGAATTCTTACAACGTTACATTGTACGTGTCACTGTTACTGATCTTGCTGCCAGTAGAGGCTCCAGAAGACGCCGTCAAGCAAATCCAGTCATGACTACTCTAGAGTATAATGTTAGTAATGCGGAGAGCCAGTTTGATTTTACTGACATTAAGCCATTCATGTCTTACTCCATTGGAGTTAATGCTGCTCTCCTGGTTGATGGACTGGAGAGAGAAGTCCCCATTACTAGACCAACTAGTGTGGACTCACCTGAATCCAGTTAGTGTTACATGTACATGCGCATGTGTGTTTATTAGCAGTTAAACAATTTTTTTTCAAATGTACTATATAGTCTACCAAAAATGATTATGAATTTTTCCAATTATGTTTTCATTCATGTACATGTACATGCATAATAATTCAATATTATTTCATTTAACACAGTTCCTGGTGTGATATCTGATCTGATGCATGCAAGGACACCAACCAGAATCACTATCTCATGGAATCCTCCTACAATACCTAATGGTATCATTACAGTATATGAGATAAGATATAGAGAGTCTACCAGTACTGGTCCATACACTATAACTAACACTACTAACACTCAATACAGTATAGCAGGATTGATACCTAATACTAGTTATACTATTGGAGTGAGAGCATATACTAGTATTGGACCAGGAGAATGGACTGATAGAGAATACACTACTATTGAAATACGTAAGAAATTACTGAGAATACTATGATGATAATGTTTTAAAATTTTTAGCTGTCATTCAAACCTTTTTTATAACAAAGCTCAATTCTACTGCAGTGAGGGCTGAATGGGGTTTTGTTTATAGAGCTAGTCATTTTACTGTCTATTATGAGTCAACCAGTAGCTCCTCAAGAAAGAAGAGACAAGTAGAGACAGGAATGAGAGTATTCCCAGGTGATACTACTGAAGGTCTAATAGGAGGATTAGATCCTAATCTGAACTACTTGTTCTCTATATCTATATCATTTAATGTCAATGGAATCTTTTATGAAGGAGAGAGGACTCAACCAATA